TCCGGTTTACCGGGTATGCGATTATTCGTGTTGTTGTTGTTGTTGTAGCAGCATATAAGCTCCCCAAAGAGTTTTTGGGGAGTGTTGCTGGAGTGACAAATTGGCCAAATATAAATCTGGGTCGTTCCGGTTACGTAGACCCGACTGTCGAGGGAACGATTATTCGTTGTTGTTGTTGTAACTGCATACAAATTTCCCAAAGAGATTTTGGGGAGTGTTGCTGGAGTGGCAGTCCTTGGCCAGATATATATCTGGGTCGTTCCGGTTACGTAGACCCGACTGTCGTGGGAACGAACGATTATTCGTTGTTGTTGTTGTTGTTGTAGCAGCATACAAATTCCCCAAAGACTTTTTGGGGAGTGTTGCTGGAGTGGCAGTCCTTGGCCAGATATAAATCTGGGTCGTTCCGGTTACGTAGACCCGACTGTCGTGGGAACGAACGATTATTCGTCTATTCGTCCGGTTAACTTACGTTGATTTTGTTATTCCGATATCCGGATATTCGGATAATCAGAAAATGTGGTTAGAAGTCCCAGCGCTTATAAATATGTACATACATATGTATGTACATTAGAGTGGTCCAAGTATTGTATGGGGGGAATAATGGCAGCCAATTTCATTTTGAAATGATCTTAAGTCGCTTAAGCAATTGTTTGGTTAATATTTGTGCAATATACTTACAGAATAAAATATAAAAATTTCATGAGAATCCTTTAAATTAATACTTAGAAACGTTTTGTGCCAGCACCTCTTTAGGGAAGAGGAAACATTTTGGAAGGTGCCTAAAACCTATCTCGAATAATTTGTTTGGATTTATCTAATGTATATATGCACATTTTCTCACCTGAAAGACCAAAAATTGTAAGCTCTATTAAAGCAAAACAAAAATAAAAATGTTTGAAGCAATTAACACACAAATTCGGAAACGAAAAATTTTTCTTTATCTACTCCACTGTGCGCCTTTGCATTTTGAACAAATTGCATTTTGTGCCCACGTTTTTCGAATCGCTTTTTACAAGCAGCTGTTGCCTCATTATTCCCGTAATTATAGAAATTCCAAAGCTGCTGCAGCAGCATCATTCGCATCCTAAAATTATAGGAAAGCATAAAGGGAAGACAATAAAAAAGAGGCAGACGGAGATAGGGGGCAGAGAGAGAGCAATGGTGGGGTGCGAGAGTGTATACTCAACATGTGTGCTACAAAAAAATTTGAGTTTCTACAATCGTACACGGATTTATGTGTGCATTATTTATCTATATTTTCCAACGTATAGATAATATATTTCTTTGATTTATTTTAATCCATAGCGCTCGTCAATAGAGAAGTTAATAAATTTGTTTGCCAAGTGAGTACATAAACCCTAAAACTTATTGCTTAAATTAATTTTTATTTTTCTGCATTTATTGTTTTGGAATAATGTAGTATTTATGCACATATTAGTGTTAAAAAACTATATACATACGTGTGAATTTAGAAATTGTATTTAATTTTTTTGTAAATGTGATGATTAAAATCTACTCACAAGTACTTATCTCAAGTACGTACATACATATGTATGTACCCCGCCAGTTACCACCTATTTCGAGGAACTTAGATAACTGTAAAATAAATTTGTAATATATGTACTTATGCATAATGGATTTATAGACTATTTAAGGATACATGTGAAAATTTTTTTTTTTCCAATCTTAAATGTTAATTTTTGCCCAATTATTTAAATTAAGTCAAACAGGAATTAAATATTTAATTCCACAGTTTTTTGTCAGTTCGGCACACATGTATGTATGAATGTAAATATCACTGCATAACAACAAATTAAAAATATTAGTATAAAGTCTTATAAAGAAAACCTAAAACTTAAAATAATTTCTCTTCATGAAATTTACGGTTCATCGAATTAACTATGAATTAAAAACTTCAAAGCTATGTACAATTATTGATCATATTTCATATATCCATTATCCAAAATACACCTATAAGAAGCATTTTATTCAAGTATGATAGAATACAAGATTACGCATTCGCAGCGGCGATTACATTTCTCAAGTAAAAAGGAAACAAAGCCGTATAGGAGGATAAAATAAACTGTCAAACAGGCAATTTCCTTAATAATTAATATTTTCCCGAAACGTGGCTTAACTGTATTACATTGTTTCGTTGTATAAAAAGATAATAAAGGAAATGTTAAAAACGTTAAAATATCTATTATTGAATTCCAGTGCATTTAAAGTTTCTAAGGCTTTCTTTTATCATTAATATTTATTGTTTTTTTTTTTTGTAATGGATTTATAACTTGTAAGTTGGGCCAAATAATTCTCCGACCCTGTAGAAGTTAAGGAGTAACTTAAATTAAAAAAAAAATAAGGCGTTGTTTATTTTTGCTTGAGAATTGCCAAAATCGGCAAAACCAAACTAGCAGTTTGGGGAATGCGCCATCTTTGTTCGCTGCACCGTGATATCAACAGCTTTTATTAATAAAAACTAAGCAATTGCTTCTTTTTAAAATTTCATACCTTTTACTCGATTTATTCAAATAAATTTGAGTAAAAGGTCTAAAATTTTAAGAAAAAGCAATTGCTTAGTTTTTATTTATAAGGCCCAATATCTACCACATCCATACATATGTACATAAATGTATAGATAAGTCTGCGTGCATAAAGTGATGAGCAGTCCACATCTCTTAACCAATTATTTTTATATGCTATTTTCCATTTAGCGCTATTTCACTTTTAAGGCAAATCATGCAATTGTGGTTATTGCTTGTTTAGCATAATAAATGTTTGCCATCAGAGATTTTTCAATTTAGTTAGACCAAATACGACATAAAACATTAATATGCGGCTTAATCATGTATGTATATGGATTACCTTTCATTGAATGCTTATTTTGCAGCCACAAACAACTGCATATGCATTTATACTTAACTTAAAACTCTTAAAGCTAGAATAAGGAAATCGCATTTAGGATAAGTGAAAGAAAATCCGGGTTTAGAAGAGCGAACCTGCCGATTGCACATACGTTTTCACTTTGTCTAAAAAATGAATTTTGCTCTTTGGCTGTAGAACTTAAGATATAAATATTTTATAATATTTTAAACCGCTGCGAATAATCTTGCCGAGGTTTACAATCTATCGAAGTGCAAACGGACGGTCTTAGCCAAATCGCCAACTATCACTGAATTGGTTTCCAAAAGCTCTTATTTTTTTCATTCAAGTGATGTATTTGCATAACTGGGAAATTAATTATTTCATATTCTTCTTAAACTGAATAGAAGTGTGAATTAAATTTTGTTTTCCATGATGGTTTAGTGAATGGTGAGAACCAAGCCAACGAAAAACGTCCAAACACTGAATGAATGCTTTTTAGGCGAGATTTTTTTGCCCAACGTGCTTCTTCTTTTTTCAATTGCTCAATACCCTGCAAAGAAATGAGTAAAAGAGTTTTGATTATTCTATGTGTACGATAAGCATATTATTATAATTATTAAGCAATTTTATCAAGTTTTCATGCATACATTAAAAGCTTATCTTTAATTAATTAGCTTACCGTTTGGTCATTAAAGATGGCAGTTAATTGCGTAGCCAGCATAATGAGCGTGAAAATTGCAAAAAGTAACGCTTCGAATGATAGAAACAGCAGTAAAATTATAGTTGTAGGTGGCGAATAGGGTGAACATTGACGCCATTCGGTATGTACACATTGTGCAAACTCTGTGACAGCCAAAAACATGGCATGTATCGATATGGCGGCAATATAAAACTGTAACAGATTGCAAGAAATAGTATAAATGTAGGTTTAGTAAAAACTATGAAGAATAAAATAAACCAAAAATCAATACTTACCGTAAATAACACAAAGAACTTTTGATTGTTCTCTCCCACACAGTTATTTACCCATGGACAATGATGATCCATTTTACGTATACAACGTTGGCATACTGAGCAATGGTGCGCGCGTTCCGGTTTAATGCTACAACATTTAGGACATTTGAAAAACATTTCACCCTCACGGTAACCCATCTGTTCAATCATTTCTTTAGTTGCATTACCGCGCGGTACTGCACCAGGATCTGACATCATCGTGCGTATGTGTGATGCAAAAGCGAGAAAAGCAAGGGCTTGGAATATAACTATGTTTATAGTGCTAAAAATAGGATACGGACTCGGCAACAATATGACACGCATTACAACAAACTCGGCAAACAGTATTAGCAGCCAGGTGAATACAGCGCAGACAATACCACAAATATCCTTTATTATAGATGATGTATATGAAAAAATAGGTATGCAAATACATAAGGTACAGAGTCCTCAATTTCCGCGCTTAAGGGGCAACTTACCTTCACGCACCAAGCGCGTCCACCACAACAACGGTTGTGCATGTCCCTGCTACCGCCATGTACTGCTATATATTGGGAATGCATTTGTTATAAATTTGATGCAAAGCTACAACTTCTACGGAACTTAAATATGCTTCTACAACAAAATTTTCGTATAATAAACGCAAAACGCGAAATTTTTTATGTTTGGCTAATTACTGGGGAAACAGCTGTTTTATGTCACTGTCACCTGTGAGATTTATAGAAGATGCCAGATGGACGAGAAAATACCTCATTCAGAGTATTTTTTAGTACTAAATCCAGCAAGAGTTTACTGCGAATGACAGACAAAATTAAAATAAGTATTTATGGAGGAGCCTACATGGCAACGAATGCAAACTTAGGAAAATTTTAATATTATCAAAGAAGTTAAATTTACGTTCTTTGGTGAATTATTATTTTTTTTTTAATATTTTATACATTCCAGATAATCCCATTTCACAGCCAGAATAAACAGAATGCGTCTGAAATATACGTTAACATATCATCAGGAACGTTCTAAAGAATAAGTAAACAAAAAAGTTTATTCCAAATGTGCAGATTGAATAAAGAAATGGAGACAAAATCTTGAAATAATCGAATGCCTGCTCTACTATGTGCATCCGGCAACACTAAGACTTTAGTACTCTTTGACGTGTCAATTTTTTACCGATCGGGAGGTGCAATATTTTATTTCCATTTTATTGTTTATTGTAGTATTTTTTTAAACAAATCGATTTACTTAACAAAAATTAAATAAAAGTAACAATGGTTGATGAATGCACGAAAAAAACACTAAGCAACATTCCATTGTTACAAACACGCGCTGGACCACGCGACAAAGATTTGTGGGTGCAGCGGCTTAAAGAAGAATACCAGGCACTAATCAAATATGTGCAAAACAATAAGGAATCTGGCAGTGACTGGTTTCGTTTGGAATCCAATAAGGAGGGGACACGTTGGTTTGGAAAATGTTGGTACATGCACAACCTGCTCAAATATGAATTTGATGTGGAATTCGATGTAAGCGGATATTAAAGAAATCAAACATATTCTAATGATGTACATACATATTTATACTATTCCACGTACCTAATTTCCCTTTTTCCATAATATTACAGATTCCGGTAACTTATCCAACGACGGCGCCGGAAATAGCTTTACCTGAACTAGATGGCAAAACTGCAAAAATGTATCGCGGAGGAAAAATTTGTTTGACGGATCACTTTAAACCTCTGTGGGCGCGTAATGTACCAAAATTTGGCATAGCACATGCAATGGCTTTAGGGGTGAGTTAAAACCCGAATTTGATTGTTCAATTGTATTAGATTTGAATCGCCTTTGTTATCATAGAACCAATTCGTCTTGTCGTAGAACCATTGCATAATTTAGTGTTCATTAATAAACTTTATTTTTTCAGCTTGCACCATGGTTAGCTGTCGAGATACCAGATCTTATAGAAAAGGGCATTATCAGCTACAAGGAAAAATAAGCTTTCCTTCTTCATAGGCAAATCCTTATTTACTTATTTTTTATTACTAACACGTTTTTGAACAAAAATGGAACAAAAATAGTTAAAAGACAGAAAGTTAAAAACAAAAAATGTTAATGTGCCTGGCAATAACTACAATAAATTTTGGTCTAAAGCTGCATACTGCATCAATATCATTATACATTTACAGTTGCAGAAAAAAAGTAAGTTAAGGAATCCCACAGGACTTTTCTAAAGTTGTAGAAAAATATCGTGTATCGAATAAAAAAATGCGTTAGAGCTGATCCGGCTTAATTTGGGCTACAGTAGCCTCGAAGACTCTTTAACTATCAAATCTATCTATGCATATATTTACTTAGCTTATGGATGGCGGCTAATAGCCGAGAGATAGTCTCAAAGAGAATTTTCATTATCAGAAAACGGCAATGGTGAAGTATTTGATGATGTAAGAACAACTCGACCCCGACAAAAAAAAATAATCATATCACAAAGCTCCCAATAAATAGACGATAAATATACAGTTTGCAAATAAATGAAAGTGGTTTTAATGTATGCTTGAAAGTATGTATGTATGTATTTGGTTTGTATGCATGTAGATTTGTATGCAGTTATTTCATTCTGTGCGTTAACTGCACTTTAGTCCATTATAGTTTTTGTTTTTCAAATTAATTATTAACTCCAAGTGTTTAATCTAATGTGTTGAGGTTGTGGCTATTATTGTGTGGCAATATGCTGTTACTTAGGCCGTGATGAGCAATGACTACTCTTGAGTATGTACGTACATATATAAGTTTAAGAATTTATAATTTCACGACTTCAATCCATTAAAGTTTATTTTACTTTATTTTTTAAGTAAAACCAAGATATCCAAAATAAACTATTATTCTTGTTTCGCGACATTAAAATTAAATAACAAAGTCAAGTCAATTGAAAATAGTTATAAATAAAATTAGGAAATTCAAAAACAAACAAAAATTATAAATTTCACATTGTTTCAAATTAATTTTTTCTTGTTCATCAAAGGATCATTACCCTTACCGTTTTTGCGATAAACGAAAAGATATATATAGGAAAAGAAAAAATTAAATAATTTTCAACCATAATAACCGTTGGTTATGAAATTTCGAAATACCGCATTATTTGGCTCGAATTTCGAATTTTGTTCGTTTCACATATTTTTCGAACTTCACACAGTTTTACAAAAAAAAAACATATTTCTAGTTATAAAGCAATGGCCAGCGCATTGGACTATGGACGGTCAGATTGCTGGGAAATGGGGGAAAAGAGCATATGGCAACAAGTTTCAAAAAATGTGTTAACCTAATTATTAAGTTCAATGTAAGCAATTGTTAAATTTTTACAAAACGAAAAAAACGCACACAAAGTTTAAGCGACATTAAATCAAAAATTACTCAATGAGGGATTCGTGTAAATGGTTGGCGCGCATGTTATAGTAATGCTAGTAAATATCTTCAAAAATATACATAACATAAAGAAAACTATCCCGCATTCGCCAACCATTCATCATCAATCGCTCAACCTTACATTTAGGCCCGCACATACGCTTTACAATAACTTATCAATTTATGTTTCCGTTGTTCTTGTTACTGTTATTAATATTGTTGCGTTTCTGCCAGCTATCCGACCAAATGGAACTGAGCGAACTAAATGGATCGAATGTCTGCATTTCAGCTGGTATAACAGCACCTGCACCAGCATCGTTGGACGAAACATTCAATGATTGCTGCTGCTGCTGTGGCTCTTGTTGTGCGGCTGATTGTGTATTGTTACTCATACCATGAAAGTTGCTCTCCAAGCCGGGAGGTGGACGTATGACTGCTGTGCCAACGCCAGCGCTACCATTGACACCACCACAGCTAGCACCAGATGTTGATACAGCACCCCCGATTGGCGGCCAAGCAGTTGCTGCGAGTGTACCGCCGCCTGTTACTGGTGTATTCAAACCGCTGACCAATACAGCACCGCCGGTTGGGCTATCATGTTGTCCCAAATACGTTGTCATCGGCGACCAAGTCCGCGAGTTTAGGTGTGCCCAATCGACACCTTGTAGCAGCTGCTGCTGTTGTTGTTGCTGCTGCGCTTGCACATGTGCCTGTGCATGAGCCTGCACCTGGGCTTGCAATTGCTGCTGGCGCAGGCTGTACATATATTCGAAGTACTCGTCTTGTGCCTTTTTTATCTCAAAGAGATCGGCGTCTAGGCCTAAAATCAGTCAGTATGCATTTCGGAAATGTAATATTTATTTAAAGTGGCTTACCTCTCAGTGGCCGATTGCCATCGTACTCGTATGTGGTCAAAAGATTAGAGAAGAAGCTGCAATTGCCTGTTGACACCACCGGCTTTGGAATTTGTAGACCATTGCCGCTATTATTGCTGCTACCGCTACTGCTACTGTTGCTATTAACTGGCTCCCAGACGGGTGTAGACGATGGCGACTTTTTAGAGCCGATAGGACCCAACTCACCAGAATTTGAGCTGGCCAACTTTTCCGAGCTCGTGTCAGATGAGTTTTGTCCGAAAAGCTGCGCTTGTTGATGCGGCTGCTGTTTTTGTTGCCCTTGCTGAAACAGATCTTGCTGTTTTCTTCCAAACTCCGATTCGTTCTCTTTACCACCGAAAAAGTAACACGATCCAGCATCGCTGACACCAGCATTCGATTTATCATTCGCCTTTGGCATAGTTTTTCCCTGCCCACTTATAGGCTGTGCCTGCAAAACATCACTAAACGTCGCCTGGTTGCCAGTGTCCCAAGGCGCGCTTAAGCAGCCCAAAGTAGCGCCGCCGTTGCTGTCATTTCCGTTTGAAAGCATTGTGCGTGTTGCCGCAGCATTCGAAGAAGCACCTGAATCGGTAAAATTTAACGCACGCAGTGCGGCCGCTGCGCGTTGGCGACTTCTACGCTCAGCGCGGCGCGATGCACTTGAAGAACCACAAGAGTTTGCGGACGATGAAGAACAGTTCGAGGGAGTTGCGGTGTCGTTCCCATTGTTGCCAGTGTTGACGTTGCGCGCGTCTTTGCGACGCTCTCGTCCTGGTGTTTTGCCATATTTCGAACCGGTTGCGCCACTCTGTACGCCTACTTCCTTTACTGGCGGCGAAGGTGTTGATGTCGGAACGGCGCTAGTGCCACGCGAATCCAGCACATTGCCTCCAAGGTTAGCGGCATGGTTTAGCGATTCAGCAACGGTCGACTTATTTCCATTTCCACGCGTATTTTTTCCTCCATTCATCTGGGACTTCTGATTGCCGGCGCCACCGCTTACGGCCTCTCTTTCATTTTTCTCGGTAGTCTGCAATGGGGCAGCAGCGGCATTTTTCGCCTTGCGCGCACTACGCGGCTGTTGTATTGAAGCCATGCTCTGCAACGGTGAGGCTGCTGCTTGAATTTGCTGCTGCTGTTTCTTTCCTCCAGTGGCACTGCTATTATTTAGATTAGTGGCTGTTGTTTGTTTATTTGCTTCAATTCCGCCTCTTTCGACCTTTTCATTGTGCGTTTGTGTTTTTGGCGTCGTCGAAACCGCTGCGCTTCTCTTTCCGCCATTTTCATTAGCGCTGGCCTGCTGCATGCCATTTGCACCACTGCTGACGTTGTTTCGGTCATTTTCGCTCGTCGTTTTCACCGTAGATACGTTATTCCTAAAAGCATTTAAGTCCAGCGACCATGGCAGCGACACACGAGATGTCGAGGCGTTGCCATTTGCATTGTTCTGGCGCTTCAAGTTGCGCTTTTTCATACTATTGCCATTGTTGCCTGTGCTCCCGCTACTAGTGCTACTACTACTGCTGCTGCTCGTACTGACTTTGGTATGTTGCTGGATGCCACTGCGTCGTTGCAAGGAGCCACACGCGACCGGTGCTTCGTCATCCGCCGCATGCGCCGCTGCTTGTGCCTTCAATGCAATATTGCGCAGATTAAATGTCGGATGCACGGAACTTTTATCGCGTGCCTCGTATAGTACCGTTTGTCCATGCAGTATATTGTCATAATCTATGTTAGCGGCAATGAGAACGAAAACAAATGTGGTGGCCAGCAACACAATGGCTGCGTTACGAATGCGCTCTTCCCACGCGGGACGCCGTATCAGAACTGAACAACGATCGATCATGCTAGCAGGCAGCCTTGCTTCTAGTTTGTATTCCAAATTATAAGAGAGATTCGTATGTATTTTAATTGGTACTTGCACGAGCGCTAAAGTGTAATCGGGAACGAAGACTATTTCAATCTTTTTAGATTCGTTCGGCTTGAGCGCAAAACTGTTGCAATCCAATACACTATAACCATAGCCGGTACACATTTGATCGCCAATTTGAAATGTCTCAATCCAAATGGGGATCTCACCCGTATTTCGAGCTGTAAATACACGCTTTAACGCAACTTTTTTGTGTTTATGTGAACCCAAATCATTTTGCCCACCAGAGGAGGATGGAGGCGTTGGCGGTTGATTGCAAAGCGTAGAAAATTGTTCGGTTAAATCAAAAAGCAGAGTCGCATTCAAGCCAGGTTTGCGATTGCCAAAGCGAAACTGCGATTGTACCACCTTTGTGCTCAGCCAAACCGCCTCGTAGAGTGTAAGGTTATTGCGAATATGCAACAGCGTACAATACGTATCAGCAATGGGGGCCTCAAAACGCATTGTCACCGGTAGACTAGTGTGCGGTGGCAAGAGTATTGGTTTATGCGGCGCGCCACCTGGCAGAGAAAATACATCCTTATCCGTAAGATAGCAATGCGGTGCAATGTCCACTACTTCCAGCGGCAAGGACAGCTGCGTTTCCTTCGCAAACGCCGGATTGGAGAGAAAGTAGTCCAGCAACACTGGTGTATCTGCCGGATTACTCACCAGTACCTGAACCTCCTGCGCTTTGCCTACCTCTATGGTTGGAAAGACTTGCTTGCCGGTGACAAATTTCGGCCACTCGATGTCAATTATTAGTTGCAACAAAAACTGTCGCACCTCGTGACTATTCAGCGTGAAGGCGATATTTTGAAAGTCGTACTTTAAATGGCGAAAGAGTTCGGTGCGTCGTCGCAATTCCGTCTCGTCGAAGTGTAAATTGTTGTTCAAGCCGCCGCGAGTGTTTTGCGCTGCTGGAAAGGCAAGCGAGCTCGTGCGCTCATCCTGCGGTATATAGCAGCGTTGCTGACATAGCAGCGACGGTTCAAAGTGTATGCGACCTACTTTGGTCATCGCATTGCCCGCGATTGTCGAACCGTTGGTATTGTAGTCCTCAAAACGTAATCCTGCATCGGTAAAATTAACTGAAGTAATGTGTATAGGGTGCTGAAAAGTGGAGCGTATGGCCAATTCGGCGGAACATTGCTTTCCCTGAAAAGGTTTAAATGCATATTTAATATTCTCAATTTCAAAATGCGAAATATGTATATGAGGCGATTCACATCAAATGTCCCAAGCGCGCTGAGCGGTGCAAAATAAGCAACAAAAAAACGACTTCAATTCTCATATAAATATATATAAATATATATCATGATCCAATGATCGGATCTAAACCAGATTAGTATGGGACCACCTCTGAGACACTACCTTTCCGATGCAAAAAGAATTATCGAAACATACATAAAAAAAAATAAAAATCCGGCGAACTGATAACCTACTCCTTTTTTGGAAGTCGGTTAAAAAGGGACTTTGTTGTTTTTCCAGGTTATAAAACGTTTTAGAACGCGCCAAACAATTTACGGCGTTTCGTCGCGTCATTTCGGCTCCGCTTGCTTGCACGAATTAAAACATCAATCTGTGATAGCAAATGTTAACAAAAGTGTCATTTAAATTCGCTATATCTCAGTCGTTTGTGTATCGATCGATTTGAAATTTTCACACAATAAACTACAAACTATTCTAATTCTTAATAGTAGTTCTTAATACTCAGTACAACCAAAACTAAAGGTTTTTTAACTTTTTTATGAGAATTGAGAGGCTGTTTTTTTTCAAATGCTAAAGTTGTGTTATAGTGTGAAATTTTATTTTGTCTTAAAACAGTATTATTGTAGATTACTATCTAAGGAAGTTTTTGCGAAAGTTTTAGATTTAAACTTCAAGTAGTTGCAAAGTTATAATAATATTATTATGACTCGCACCGTTAGCACATTGGTGCGCTCTAAAAGGCTTTATAACTCGGAAAAATAAAAAAGTCCCTTTTTATTAATGATCTCTATGTAAAAAAGACTTGATCTTTCGATTGAGATAACTAAAAACAATATTAAAAACGACCATAATTCAGAAAAATAACAAATAAATTTTCGTTCAGAATTTTCACCATGAAAATGGGAAAATTTTGGAAAAAAATCTATAGAAATCATAGTTTTAGCATTATTTTTCCCATTTGCTGTCTAATTCCCAGCTAGTCGAAAAGTAGCTTGTTTTGCACAGCTCAGCGCGCTAGGGACATTTGACGAGAATTGCCGCATATGTTGATTGAATCAACAAATAAACACTCTTACCGTTAGATTTCATAAATTCCCTAAAAATTTTAATAATATTTACCGGAAAGCAATTTTCGAAGTAAAGCAGCTCTTGATCAACCTCTAGTTTGCCGATCCAAGTGCGAAAACGCACCGTCGTCGTGATCTCCTCGTATGTTGTCCAAATTTTCAATGTGCATTGATGCTGCTCAGTTATATATGACTGTATAGTAACTTGAAAAACCGCCACATCGTCCTCCTCCAACTGTGTGCATAGCTTAAACTTTGCGCTCTCCAATTTCAGTGTAGCATTGCGCAATGCGCGCAGTGAGGCTGGCCGCAAGCAACCTCGAAATGAAGTATGAAAATATACGCCTTGAGGCGATTGAAAGTTCCAAGTGTTTAGTTTGATAGGCAAAGGATTGCGGTTGCGTAAAACAATGTAACCATTGTGCGATGTCTCTGCCAATGGTATGGCACCCAAATTCAAATCCACACTATAAGGTGCATCGTTTTGTAAACGCGCCGTATCGTAGGTGGAGACATGTAAACGGCCACCACAAACAATCAGCGGCACCAGGATGTGCGTAATGTTCGTGCGTATGAGTAAGTTGCTTTTGTACACCATACTTGAGTTGAGCATCTGTAGTTGCAACAAAGCCAAAGAACCGCCACTTGGCAACACCAAAAAGTCCCTTGCGCTGCCGCCTAAGACGTCCAGATAATCTCTACTAAGTTGTGCGCGTAAAGCTCCACTATCGGTTTCTTGCTGCGGTAAGCTTACATTTAGCAGTGCTATGGGCGTTTCAAAGTCGTTTCGCACCACCAAGGTACGTTTATTGCCTCCGCGGTTACCCAACGTAGCTTGTGTTACGAAAGTAGTTGAGTTACCATCATAGTGTAGCGACCCTTTAAACACTTCGGCACGTATAAGAACCGTGAATTCGTGCGGAGTGTTTGTGGCGTTTTCTTGCAAGGGAGTACGCGGTGCACTGCGCAACACCATCACCTCATCTAGTATAGTTGTGCTATCGAAGAGATGTGACTCCAGTACTACAACACCATTTTTGAGATCAAAAGTTAGTCCTGGCATTTGACGCAGTGTATAATCGATTAAAACGTGCTGTTGGCGCATGTGCGAATTGTGAAGCTGTAACTTCATTTGCGATGGTTTCACGCTACTACCTAGTGATGCGGCTGTTGACAACCGACCGAAATTAATAACTGGATTATCTGCGTACAGTCCGTGTAAGGGTAAAATCTCAATTTCGACAGGTATTACGAGCACATTTCCGCTATTGCTCGCTGAATCACTAGTACCTTCACCAATCTGTTCTGAAATTTTGATGCGTATATAAGCCGTGTGGTTACCGACGGTGCGTGCATGGAATCGTATTCGAATAATAGATTTCGTTTCATACGGCGGTATCTCCCATAAAGTTTGTGGGCCTTCTTGCCCGCCACTCGGTAATTCTAATTGGAACTGACCACCACTGCTGTAAACCTATAGGCACATTAAACAAAAATAATAAATAGCAATAAACCAACGGCTTGTTTACATACCTCTAGTATTTGAAGTGGCTTGTTATGTGGATTGTACATTTGGATCTCAGGCGTGAGCGTTGCGTTAAGCGGTGCTTTGATCCCCACTAACGGTTTCAGCCGATACGGGCAATCTCGTCCTTCGCCGCGTACCTGCAAACGTGCTTGCCCAAAAGACGTATGAATTAGTAGATCCGTAGCGACGCTACCATGAACGCGCGGCAGAAAAACAACATTAAAGGTAGTATTTCCTTGCGGCGGTACTACTTTTGCTTCGAAAAAGCTCGAATAAAAGGTAGGTGTACGTCCCGACACCGAAGTTAAATATACGCTACGATTTGCATTCTGATTTACCAACGTCACCGTATGTGCACGAGCCGTTCCCACTGGGCATGCCTCGCCGAAATCGAGGAGAGGAGGTTCGAAACGTAGACTACGTTGCAATTCATCACTAGTTGTGTCCGCTGCAGGCGCTAATGACGCAAATGCATTGGTTTGAGCCGCTGCTGCATGTAATGACTTTTCAGCAGTAGTACTGCCACTAATATCGCCGGCTACTCGACTGAGCAGCAGCGTGAGCACCAACAAAAATGACGATGGTCCTGACATTTTCACGCAACAGGATGAACCACGGATGTCTTCCTTCGCTATGCGTATCTTTTTAGCCGGTTGCGGCTGTTTGGGTGTGCACAATGGCCTCCGAGTGTCCTTCTGCTTCCTTTTTTGCTGCTTGATTACCTTTGATTTGACGTCCAATTGGTTACAACGTTCGAGTCTTTAGATTTACGGACACTTTTCTATTCAAATTATAACCGTCTTTATTATATTATTGTAACTACTAAATTGAACCTCCTCTGGCAAATCTTTTCACATTATTTTAGTTTTATTTAAGATATTTTTTCGTCTTAAAACACTACACTATCAGCCAGTCGTCTGTAAAAGTGCAAAAAATAATAATCAGCCTATAGAGTGAATGTCACGGAAAGCGAAATTACCGAAAAATACGAAGCAAGCCACAAAATAAAAAAGCGATGTCGATGGCCACCACAACAGAAGCGATAAACAGAACAATGAATGATGAATGTCAGAACAGGGATAGATCAAAAACTTCTGGAAAACTGGAATGCACTACCGGACGTCACTGGAATGCAATACCGGAAGTATAGGGTGATAAACACTGGTTTCACCCTGTTGCACGCTATGGGGGGTGAAAACTGCTATTTTGAATTTTGTAGTTTTACAGCTCTCTTTCTTTAGTGAATTTACTAAAAAATTTCAAGAAGCAGAAAATTCAAATTGGTTCGATATTTTGTATCAAAATAAAATGTATGTATAATTATACAAAGTTACTGATTGTTTTGAATTTGCCGAACACTACAATTCATTGATAACTGACAACTTTCGATTTAGACCACACCGAAACTTTGAGGAAAATGCATTACTTGATGGTTAAAAAGACATCTGGGTTTAAATTATCGTGCTAAAAATAGGCTATTTTCAGAAAACGCTAATGCAGAAGAAAGTCGCTAGTAAAACTACCCTCGTATTGCACCAATTCAGACGTGCTTATGTATGTATGCACATATTGATACCTTAAATGCAACAAGTAAGAAAGTCTAAGTTCGGGCGGAGCCGAACATTAAATACCCGGCGCAATTATTAAATATATGTTTTCCACCTTTCCGAAAGCTACCGCTACACGATAAGCCGGGGTGTATAAATTTTAAGTAAATTAGCGTCCTTAAATTTCGAAATATTGCAGTTTCAAGCATTTCTGAAATATACCGTTATATGAAAAGCGGTCGTAATTTTAGTCCGATTTCAATAATTTTCAACGCTTTGCTTTTATGTGGCAAGCACAATAACCATACCGAGTTTGGTTCAAATTGCTAGAACGGTTAGCGAGATACATATATGTGATCATAAGTGGGCGGCGCCACGCCCATTTTCCAAAATTGTATCATAAGCGTATTTCTTGGTAAATTTTGAATAAATTAGCTTTAATATTTACTGATTTATCGAGGATTTCGTATTTTTCTAAATTACCGTTATATGGGATGTGGGCGTGCTTATTGTCCGATTTTAAAAATTTTCGCCCATTTGGTATGCTGTAGCAGGACCAACAACTGTGCCAAGTTTGGAAGAAATTGGTGCAGCGGTAACCAAGATATACACATGTAACCATAAGTAGGCGTGGCTACGCCCATTTGCCAAAATTTTTTAATATTCTTATTTTTCGTCTAAAACTCATTGTAAATATCAATTTTGAGTGAATTATCTTCAGCAGTTACTAAAATATCGCACTTTTCGTATTTCTGAAAATTACCGTTATATGGCAGGTAGGCGTGGTTATTGTCCGATTTCGCCCATTTTCAATACCATCCGTCCTATGCCCAAAAGAAGTCCACGTACCAAGTTTCGTTAAGATATCTCAATTTTTACTCGAGTTATCGTGTGCACAGACGGACGGACGGACGGACAGACAGTCACCGCTTAATCGATTTCTCTTTTCATTCTGATCATTTATGTATACATTTGTCTATATCTATCTCGATTCGTTTTGCCTGTTACAAACAACCGTTATGTGAACAAAGTTATAATACCCTTGTGCACAAGTGCGCTCGGGTATAAAAAGGCGTAACTAATATCGTCACTGGAATGCTAAAGGTCGCGATTAATATTTTTTTGCATCATGTTATGTGGCGAATTCCAAATCGATGAAAAGCATCATAACAGTGCATTCAAAAAGTGAAATTTGTTTTTTTTTTTTACATTTCAGCGAGGATGTTAGTTAATTGGTTTTTGCATTTCAGGTAACGGTATTTATGTATGTGTGTACATATGCGATGCGTTCAAGTTAGAAATGTTAATCCCGAGATGCCGGCCTTTTTAAGGTTCTAAAAATCTCCGGATTCGTGGAAAATAGTCACGGGATTTTCGTGATTTTTAATGTGCACTGATGGCAATAATAGAAGCTCCTTTTCTTGGCCAGTATTGGCTATATTTCTTTTTTATTTAATAATTAAGACTTTTTTATTAATGTCTAGTTGATTATACATATAACACCACGCGATTGTAAATTTTAAACGGAAATATCAAAATATACTCGAAACTATGGGCCAAATATAGTAAAATTGCGATTTTAGTTTTTCAGTCTGACGTCAGTAATTCAAAAATGATTTAAAAACTTCAGAGAAATGTGTTTAGAGAAGAAGTGTGGGTATCAAATTAAAGAGAAAATCCTGTAGAATTGAAACAGATTTAATTTTGTGGCGCAAAAGGACTGTCAAATATTAAGTGTCCTTTTAAAATTTCATCCTAAAATTTCGCAATATTGGTTTTTGAAAAAATTGTAAGTCAAGGACTTATACAACCCCGATAAGATCCTCGAATTTCGTCCTTCTAACTTTAACAGCTTAAAAAATTACCTATTCGTCCTTGTGAATCCAAAAAATTTTAATTTTTTTTTATTTTTAAAGCAATTTCCACTTGCATTTGGTACCCATATTTTTATTCTACATTGCATTGAATTTTAAAAATAATCTTTGGAATTAATCATATCTTTGAAATTACAAAGTCCTTTAAAATAAATCCTGACGCCAGAGAAAATAAAAACGCCACTTTAAATAAAAAGGTAAGTATCAAACCCATTTATTCATTATTTATTTTATGGCAGGAGAGCTTCTCAAACAATATAGAAGCAATTTTTTTCGATTTAAGTTGTTGAAAAGTAATGAATATCTAAATCCCGGGAGCCCGGGATTGTGAAACCAATATCCCGAAAATTCCGTGATAGAAAAAAGCTGAAAAATTAACATCCCTAGTTCAAGTAAATAAAAAAATCTTCAATACTACTTATCGCGCGTTATCTAAAATTTTCCAGTACATTTTGTTGGGAAACGAATTTAGCTTTTATAAAAAAAACTCCAAAGTTTTCACCATTATTTAATATTTATATCTATATAAGTACAAATGACTACAAAAAAATCATGCGACTAAATCTCTAATATGTATTCTTCCATGGCCATAAAAAAGATGGCCCTTTCAAAGAAAGTGCCAGTTGCATGAAGTGTTATACCAAAGCTTTAAATATTTTCCAAATCGTACTGCTAGATGTCCTTAAATAATTTACTCGGATTTGGCATGTTCCTCGTTGGTACGCTCCCCTTTATGTTCTTGCTTTTCATTCTGGACTCGTTGCAACAGTTGTGCTCTCTTTAGCTTAACCATTAACTGAAAGGAGTTGTACATCCAAGTGCCCTAGGAAAGTTCCAAATCGATTAGCAGTTATAGTTTGTTGAGAATACTTTATCCTTCTTCCTCACAATTATAAGCATACAATTCAGCAAAATCGGCATAGACCGTATATTTGTCTTTTTTCATTAATTTATTATGCAAATACTCTTAAAACGTACAGATTGCGCTTATTGCAATAAGCGTGCTTTGCTACAAAGTTAATATAGATTTGTGTAAGCCTTATACTAGTAAATTTTATAAAAACTAAAACCTGATATTAGTATATCTAACAAATAAATTAACATACAACAAATATGAAGATATTAAATAAATAAGCAATTAAGAGGCATATTTTTAGAATACCTACTGGGTAATACAGAGCAAAGCAAATAAGAATTTCATACATATTTTATAAGGCATTTTTTTTTTTTAGCAGCAAACATCTGCAATACTAATAAAATTTTCCTGGTTACTGAGGCATTTTATTTACTGGCTTTTGAATAAAGGCACTTTACATTCAAAGCATTTACAGGCGAACTATTTTATATTTACTGGACACCGTGCCATGAGCAAAAAAAAATGTTTTTTAATATTTTTTGGTTTAATGCTGCATGTCATAATCTGTGATAATAACTAAAACAAGCGGTCTCTCGCCGTCAGCATCTCCATTAGAACGAATATGATCGGCCATATCTGCTGGTATTGCAGTAGCTACTGTAGTTGCATCCAGCGCAAGAACAGTTGCATTTGCCGTTGTTTGATTGTTGTTATGCGACTCAGACTCGACGCTAACACCAGCGCTGGAGCTCATAGAATTTGTTGAATGAGTCGATAAACTGTCACCAGTCAGTGGTGGAGTTTCCATGAACAATTCAATGGGCATATGCTGCTCAATCACATTGATTATGCTATTATTTAGTTGTAAATCTGATAAATCTGGTTCAGTTTCCTCTTCCTGTTGCTTACGATGTAGGGTGGCACTTGGTAATTTCGTTTGGTGTTGATCGTTTCCAAGAGAACCATGGCCATTTTCAGTTTTTATATCAACAACTTTAGAATTAAGATTACATTCCATTATTATTCCACTCCTTTGCCTAAAAGCTAATTCGCGTGTATTATCCCTTATTTCACTTTGCTCTAGTTTACGCATGCCTACAACTGAATCCTCATGTTATTTGCCAGACAACATTGGCTGATCAGATAACATAGAAATTGTGCAACCAGAGCTAATGTGATCCATCACTTGCTCCTTGAGCTGTGCCACATGATCTTTCAAGCTTTTAACTACTGCACCCAATTCAGAGTTCTCGCCCTTTAGAATTTTTACTTTATCTTCCAATTTTGAGATGCGTTCGAGCTTACGTTTTCGGCACTTTGATGCTGCTACACGATTACGTTGTCGCTTACGCTCCAATTTGATTTTTTCTTGTGTTTCCATATCAATAGGACTGAGTGCTGCTGGTGATGCCGGATTTTGTGGTTCGTCCTTGATGGCAACCGGGAAAGTTTCTGTGGAAGTTAAACACAAATAGATAAGGTTATGTTAGGATATGTTTAATTAAAAACAATCATTCACCTAAATTGGTATAGGTGAACGACCCGCCACTAATGCCAGTGCCAACAACTGGCGCGGTGGACGTATTTGTTGTTATGGCCGTAACCTCAACGTTGCTATTGCTGCTGTTTATTATTTGTGCGGCCTGCGACTTCTTGCTTTGATGTAAGTTACTCAAGGC